TCTGTACCTAAGCTATATATCTTTCTCTCTTTGACTGCTTTGAAAATTATATCCTATTCACTTGTTTCCAGGGTTTGACAATGATTTTCTTGGCATGATCTTCTACAATTTCCTCTGATAGGAAATTTATTGACCTTCTTTAATCTGTGAGCTTATAGCTTTCATCAAGTTTGTAAAACTTTGGCTAATCATTATTCAATTTTTTCCTTTCTCTTTTCAGAACTCCAATTTCATACTCATTAAATTGTTTAATATTGTAATTAGGGTCACTGTTGACTTTTTTTGTATTTTTTACTGTTTGTGCTTCATTTTGGGTAGCTTCCATTGCTGTCTTCAAAGTAAGTATTTTTTCCTGACTATTTGTCTAATTCTATCCTGTGAAATATTCATTTTAGACATTACTTTTTTCAGGAGTGGGTATTTAGCTTCATGGTTACAAAGCTGATTAAGAGGCTGGTGCCACATCTGAGCATCTGACTTCAATATCCGCCTCCAGTTCCTAACCCTGCTTCCTGCTAATGCAGACCCTGGAAGGCAGCAATATTGTTTCAAGCGATTGTGTCCCTGCCACCCACATGGGAAGCCTGGACTGAATTCCTTGTGCCCAGCTTTAACACAGCTCTGTCCCAGCCAATGCAGGCACTTGGGGAATGAACCAGTGGATGGGAGCTCTGTGTATATATATGTGTGTCTGCCTTTAAAATAAACAAAATAAAATAGATATAACATCTTTCAATGTTTTCAGTTTCTTTTTTTAAAAAAATATTTACTTGAAAGACAAAATTACAGAGGGAGGTAGAGCCAGAGAGAGAGAGAGGTCTTCCAACCACTGGTTCACTCCCTAAATGGCCATAACAGCCACAGCTGAGCTGAAATGAAGCCAGGAGCCAGGAGCTCCTTCTGGGTCTCCCACGTGGGTGCAGGGGCCCAAGGACTTGGGCCTTCTTCTACTGCTATCCCAGGCCATAGCAGAGAGCTGGATCGAAAGTGGAGCAGCCAAGACTCAAACTGGCATCCACATGGGATGCAGGCACTGCAGGCCAGGGCTTTAACCTGCTACACCACAGTGTCGGCCCTTGAATTTCTTTTCTTTTTTCTTTTTAAAGATTACTGTGTTCATCCTAATTTTACTTACTACTTCCTTGGGGAACACATAGATCATGTTGATAATAGCTGTTTTACTGTCTTTGTCAGCTTGTTCCATTGTCTCTGACACTGCTGAGTCTCTGCCTATTGAGTGATTTCTTTTTTCTTACGGCTATGGCTCATAGTTTTTTATTTCCTTGCATGCTTGATCATTTTCTTTTTGATGCTAGATATCATAAAATTTACATTGTGATTTTCATTGCTAAGTTTTTGTTGTTTATATAGTTTTGAACTGTGGTTCATATTTAACATCATTTGGAATAGTATGATTCTTCTAAGGCATATTTTCTTTTTTTAAAATTACTTATTTATTTAAAAGTCAGAGTTAGAGAATGAGAGTGAGAAAGGTCTTCCATCTGCTGGTTCTCTGCCCATGTGGCTCTAATGACCATGACTGAGCCAGGCTGCCCCCAGGAGCCAGGAGCTTCATCCAGGTCTCCCATGTGGGTGGCAGGGGCCCCAACACCTGGCCATCTTGCATTACTCTCCCAGGCCATTAGCAGAGAGCTGGATCAGAAGCGGAGCAACCAGGACAAAATCTGGCACCCATAAGGGATGCCAGTATTGCAGGTAGCAGCTTCTCCCCCTGTGCCACAACACCAGCCCCCCTAAGTCATGGTTTCATGCTTTGCTGAAGTATGCCTAAACTACCTGATAGTTTGTGATAATTTAATCCCACTGCTAAATTGACACCATTTTCTGGAATCTACTTGATGAACTGCATACTATTGGACCTTTCTACTTTGTTGAATTATTCCGAGTTCTGTGTGAAGTTTGGGGGATTGTTCTGCCTAGAGGTTCTCAGTTGTCCTTTCCTTAGCTTTGGGTATTTTCGTCTCCTGCATATGCAGATTAATGTCAGTAAAAGACTCAAAGGCTCAACTTTAGCCTTCAGGAATACCTAGGCTTTTCTTTATGGAAAGCCCTCCTAGCTAGCACTCTTCCCTGAGGATTCTACCCACCCCTGCTTCCATCAAAGGGACTGAGACTCCAAACTGCTCAATTCAAAAACACTTGGCTCAGTTTGAATTCCTTCTACCTGCTCTACAGCCTACCTGCCTCCAGATAGTGAGATGATGCAATCACCTGGCTCACTTCATTCATTTCCATTTCTCAGGAACCGTGGTGCCATACTGCCTTTGATCTGATGTCTGAAAACCATTGTATAATATATTTGTCCTGTTATCCAGTTGACCAAAGGGTAGTCATTACTCCATTATGAGAAGAGGCATAAGCCTCCTGATAGGAACTTTGGTGCAGGCTATAACAATCTTTTTCTTTCCATGTGCAAACACAAGCCATAGTAAGGTATCAAAAAGGAGCACGGTGTAGTCAAAGAAAATTGAGAAAAAGATAGTTTGGAACACTTTCTCTCAAGCTTTGCTGGTGTTTATTTAATCCTTTTAGAGGCAACAGAGTTTGGAAGGTAACTTTGATGCAGAAATAACCCTGCATTTGGAATGCTAAAATAACAGAGTTCCAATTCTGTCAGTTACTAATTATATTACCTTAAAAAGTTTAATGCAATACTTACTAAATGCCTGGTATTGGTCAATGAACTTATTTGATCACCTGGAAAATTATGGTAAAACTACCTCTCTCCTGGGAAAACAATTAGGATATAATATTGATCAGATGCATAGAAGTCAAGATAAGAAAATTTCCATTTCCGTAATTGCCACTAGCATGCTTTGTCAACTGTACCCACAGAAAGTTAATCATTGGAAAGCCTTTATAATTAATAAATTTTAATGCATTTAATTTATAAACAAGAAGTATTATTACTTTGAATATTTTTATATTGTTTATAATTTTTACTAGTAAAATTATTCCAGGATTTAGGACTTAGAAATAAAAATACTTTTAAGATATACTTCAAGTTTTAACAAAGAAGAATGTAAAATCTTCTTAAAATTTGAATATTTCAAGAGACAAAGGGAGAATCTTAGTATTGGATAGGATATCATTGAAAATGAATAGTCAAGGGTGGACATCGTGAAGCAAGAGATTGACACCACTCTGATCTCATATCAGAATTCCTGGGATCAAGTTCCACCCGTACTTCCAATCCTGCTTCCTGCTAATGTGCCTGGGAAGCAGCTCAAATTTGAGTCCTTGCCACCTATTTGGGGACCCAGATATGTTTCACAGCTCCTGAATCTGGCCTGGCCCAGCCCCAGCAGTTGTGGACGTTTGGGGAGTAAACCAGCAGATGATACATTTCTCTCCCTCTCTTTCTGCCTTTAGAATAAAAATAAATAAATAAATAAACATTTTTGAAAAAACAAAATGAACAGTCAGTGGGACCCTAAATTCTTTGCTAGTGTGCTTTGGTGATGAAGTTGAGAACTGGCCAGGAATACAGAGGCAAACTCATTGTCCCTTAGAGAGAGTAGGAATTGATGATAAAACCTACAGTGCTAAATATTCCCCATATTCTATACCACAATTTGAGATGAATAAATTCAAATGTCATCATAAACATAAGATACAACTACTATAAGACACTTAAAATATTTGTTACTGGGAAAACTTCAAATGGAAATTCAATAGAATCCCAAAGTAAACATATAATTCCAGTAAGAAAACTTGGCTAGGATCCATTTTTATGATTTTCAGCTTAGTCGTAAGCTATAATCTCTTTGTAGTTACAATATTAAACTGTTATTTACTGTTATTTGCCCTCTTACTGCCTCTCTTTAAAAGCAAGTTTTATAGAATTAAGATTCCAGAAATGTGGAATAGATGCACTCTTCTCTATTCTTGCTTTTTTGTACAACTATGTTAAATATAAAACAAAATAATACTTTGAAAGTTGGCGAGAAGGCAATAGTCAGGCTAGGATTTCAGGATTCAAGGAATGACTCAGAGGTAAGTTCTCTTGGTTTTAGTTTCCTCCTTATATAGCCCAGACTTGGAGTGCAAGAAGCCAGTAACCCAGACCCATTAGAAGAGGTAAACCAAACAAGTCTAACAAAATCTCGCCCTTCTTAGCCAAAGGGTCAGGAAGATGGAAATCTCCTAGCAACCTGTGCGTTGAGAGACAGGTATACAACTTTACCAGGCAGAAGCTTCAGGTGGGAAGGTACCAGAAAAGGCTGAATATGAGACTGGATTTCATTCCAACCCACCAATAATGACAGACCCTCCACCTCACCTCCCAGCTGGAGTGAATTCAAAGGAAGCATTGTTTGTAGTCAGAACTCGTACCACTGCTGAGCAATAACAAGGCAGTCCTTGCTCTACGGAGGCAAAATGGGTAGCAGTACTAAACCATCTTTAACCCTCCCACCAAGGTTGAGATACTTAGCTGGGAGTGGAGACAGCCACCTATGCCCAGCACTAATATGTGATAATCTCTGATATCAAAAGAGGATCACTGGGGAGACTGAGTATTTATTCCCACCCAGAAATAATGTGGGAATTCCCAACCCAACTTCCCTGCCAAACTGGTGATCGAGAAAGAGGCCAGAGTTTTATGATATAATATGAAAATTTCCAGGTTTCAACAGGAAATCACACATCATACCAAGAACTGTGAAGATGCTACCCTGAATGAAAAGGACCATCAATAGGTACCAATACCAAGATGATGTTAGAGTTATCTGTTAAGAATTTAGAATATCCACCCTAAAAATTGCTTCAATGAGCAGTTATGAGCATTCTTGAAGCAAGTGAAAAATAGAGGACTTCAACAGAGAAACAGAAAGCCCCAGAAAAGAGCTATAATACATAAAGAAGAACCAAATGTAAAAATTAGAACTAAAAATACAACAACAGGAGGAGAGCGAGGAGAGGCCGCGACCGAGGAGAAAACGCCGGAGTCGCCACCGGAGAAAAGTCGACTCCCCAGCCGCCGCCGCCGCCAGCGAGGCCCGCCCACCCGCTCGCCCGTCCCCCTGCCCCGTTCACAATGCAGCCTGCTTCTGCAAAGTGGTATGATGGAAGGGACTATGTCTTCATTGAATTCTGTGTTGAAGACAGTAAAGATGTTAATGTAAATTTTGAAAAATCCAAACTTACATTCAGTTGTCTTGGAGGAAGTGATAATTTTAAGAATTTAAATGAAATTGACCTTTTTCATTGTATTGATCCAAATGATTCCAAGCACAAAAGAACGGACAGATCAATTTTATGTTGTTTACGAAAAGGAGAATCTGACCAGTCATGGCCAAGGTTAACAAAAGAAAGGGCAAAGCTCAATTGGCTTAGTGTGGACTTCAATAATTGGAAAGACTGGGAAGATGATTCAGATGAAGACATGTCTAATTTTGATCGTTTCTCTGAGATGATGAACAACATGGGTGGTGATGAAGATGTAGATTTGCCAGAAGTAGATGGAGCAGATGATGATTCACAAGACAGCGATGATGAAAAAATGCCAGATCTGGAATAAGGAGTATTGTCATCACCTGGATTTTGAGAAAGTGATTTCTCTGTAAAATTTCATAATTGAGAGAATTCCTGAGTTGATAGCTCTAAAGGTGGATGCTGTATTTGCCTCCTTTAACCCATTTTTCAACCTATTTGTTTTTTTAAAAGGCTTCACTAAGGGTTGATATGTACCATTGTATGGGGCACTCAGCTAAGGCTTATGCATGAACATTTCCCAGACTTCATGGAGCTGTTGAGGTCCTAGATAATTGATACAGCAGTTGTGATAAATAAAAACATTTCACTTAAGTCTCCTTTACTTCTTCATAACATAGATACTGACATGATAGGAAGTGCTCAGCTTAGGGAAAGATAAGTAAATTTTACGGTTTAGAACATGGACTCAAATGTGGCTGAAACAAATTGGCTGACACCTTAAACTGATAACCGGCTATTCCTCTGGTGTAAACTAAAGTTTATTTTTCAAAAAATTCACTTCACATTATTCTATGTAAGTGATCACTTGTCAGTGTTCCAGATGTATCTTAGCTAAAACTAGTGAATGCCCTAACCTAAGTTAGGTTTTTGAAGCCTATACATTTGGTATTGTTTGGCCCTTAAGCTTTTACATCTCTTAGCATGGAGGACGAAGAAAGCTGTACATTGTTGCTTGAGAGTCTATACATTTAGACCAGATTTGTATTTGCACTGTCAGTATGGCAAATGAGTGAAGAAAATCTTAATACACTATTGGAATTTTTTTTATTTCTTTTTTTTCTGGTTCAGCTTATACCAGGGCTGAAAACCTCAATTTATGTTCATGACAGTGGGGATTTTTTTAAATGTCTACATTCTTTCTAATAAACTGTTGGAAGACTTAAAAAAAAATACAACAACAAGTAAAAAACTCAATGGGGGGGGAGTAATATCAATATCCAAAGCAGAATGGAGGAAACATAGACGAGAAAGAGTAAGGGGAAGATAGGATGACAGGAATTTCCCATTAGAAGAGTAAGGAGAATATAAACCAAGAAAATAAATAAATAAATAAAGCAAGCAAGCAAGCAAGCAAAGGTAACTATGCAATTCAGATTGCTAATTTTATGTCAACTTTGCTAAATTATGACACCAAGATATTTGGTTAAACATTATTCTGCATTTTTCTGTGAATGTACTTTTCAGATGTTAATATATTGAGCTTTGAGTAAGGTTATCTTTCATGTTATACATAGAACTCACCCAATCCAAGGCTAATAAACTGACTTCCCTAGAAGAAGGGGAGTTCTTCCAGAGGCCTGATTTTGAATTCAAACTGTAACTTATCTCTAGATTTCCAGCCACCAACCCACCTTACTAATTTTGGACTTGCCAAAACTCCACAATTGCATGAACAAATTCCTTAAAATTTTCAAACTGATGCATTTCTTGGCTCAATCTTTCTGGATAATCCTAATACAAGAATAAAGGGAAAAATCTAACATTAACATTCTGAGTCTCAGAAGGAGAGGAAAAAGAAATGGGGCTAAAATAGGACTCAAAGAAATAATGGCTGAAAACTACAAATTTATCAGAAGGCATAAACATTTAGATATAAGATGAGTGAACCCCAAACTGGATAAATCTAAAGAAATCCACACTAAGAACATCATAATCAATCTCCTACAAACTAAAAACAAAGAAAAAAAATCTGTAAAGCATGAAATTGAGAAGCAGCACTTTATCCATAAAGAAAACAATTCAAATGGCAGTAGATTTATGATTAGACATATGGAGGGGAGAGAAAGTGAAACAATGTTTTTCAAGGGCTGAATCAAAGTAACTGTCAACCTAAAATTCCATAACTATTAAAAATGCCCTATAGGGATGAAAAAGACATCAAAACATTCTCAAATGAAGGAAAACTTAGACTACCAGCATTAAGTGAGTTTAGCATAGTGGCAGGACACAAGTTAAATACCAAATTCTATTGTATTTTAGCAATAAACACATCAGGCTAAAATACAAATATAATACCATCTACAAGTCCCCCAAAATGAAATTCTTAGTGATAAATCTTAAGAAACTCATTCAGAATCTCTATGTGAAAACCACAAAACACTGATACATTTTGAAAATCTAAATAAATAGGAGACATACAGTATTCATCAACTGAAAGAATCATATTAATTCTCCTCCCAACTGATACACCAGTTTAATGCAATTTCTCATAAAGTCCCACCATAATCTTTTGTAAGTATAATCAATATTATTCCAAAGTGTATATGGACATGGAAAAATACTAAAACTATTTTGAAAATGAAGAAAGTAGGAGGAACGAGTCTGTTGAATTTCAGGGCTTTCGATGTTGTCTCAGTCTTCAAGATCGTGTGGTAGTTTTAGAGTGATAAATGCATTTGGTTGATGGACAGAATCCAGAATCCAGAAATAGCTGCATAAGTATGCCCAACTGGATTTTGGTTAAAATGCAAAGATTCGGTGAAGAAACAATAGCCTTTTAACAAATGGAGCTAGAGCAATTGGATATTTGTATGCAAAACAAACAAACCTCAATGGAAGTCTTACACCTTCTATAAAATTTAACCCAAAATAAATCACAGATTTAAATATAAAATATAAAACTTACAACTTAAAAAATCTGAGAAGAAAATATTCATAATCTAGTGATAGACAGTAAATTCTTAGACATGAAAACAAAAGCATGGACTATGTAAAGATAATGCTAAGTTAGGGACTGATGTTTGGCACAGCAGTTAAGATGCTTCTTGAAACACATCCCATATTGGCATGCCTGGGTTTGAGTCTCAGATTCCTACTAATTCACACTCTGGGAGACAGCAGCTTATGGCTCAGATAGGTAGGTGCCTGCCACCCAAATGGGAGAGTCAGATTGAGTTCTGTGTACCTGGCCCAGCACCAGCTGTTGTAGGCATTTGTGAACCAGTGAAGGGCGTCTAGGTTGTTTCTAGTTTGGGACTTAATTCTAAATGATTATATATTAAAATAAGAGTGTTTTTTTCTTAGATAAAGGCACAAACAATTGCTAGATCACCTGATAGCTGCAACTTTAATTTCTTAAAACAAAACCAAACAAAAAACGACTATCACTCTTTTCTAGAGATGGAACCATTTTACAAACTCAGTAGTGATGTATCACACAGTGTCTTTTCATTCTTGGCGCCATTAGGTGTTTTTGCTATTTTTAAACCATTCTAGTAGGTGTGTGATAAGTCTCCTTGTGGTTTATTTTTCATTTCTTTAATGGATAGCGATGTTGAACAGCTTTTTTATGTACTTATGTGACATTTGTGTATGTTCTTCAGTTATATGTCTCTTCATGTCTTTTATGAATTATCTAATTGGATTGCTTGCTTTTGCTGTAGAGGTTTGAATATTTTTGAGTATGTACTCTCGATATGTCAGATTTTGGATTTGCAAATAATTTTCATTATTTCCATACTTTTAACAAAATATTTTTCAGAACAGGGACATAAAATTTTAATGAAATTTAATCTATCAGTTTTAAGAAATATTAATTAATGTATTTATTTGAAGTGGAGAGAGAGCGGGGAGAGAGAATGAATCTTCTAATCTATCACTGGTTCACAAATGCCTACAACAGCTAGACATGGAGAGAATATTAATGGTTTTAGGTTTTAAGGAGAGGGTGTGTTAGTAAAATGGTGCAGTCTTATCTATGGCGTGATCTGCTCCCTGGACACCATCCTAGGCTCTAGCCCGCAGCCATGGCTGGAAGCCAGGTGAATTTATGGCCCAACCACTGGTGTCAGCTCCATCTCTCTGCTCCTACTTCTCTGCCCACCCCCCAGCAAAGGTTTAACAGGACTTGTTCCTGAACATGTGGTGCTCGCTCTCTCTCTCTCTCTCTCTCTCTCTCAATCTCTCTTTTACGTTCACCTTCTCCCTCTTTTCCTTCTTTGCCGCTTCCCTCTGGTCTGTTGGGTTTCCCCGCCAATAAACTCTTTCCCTTACTCTGATGTTTGGTGTGTTTTGTGGCGGCCTTACAGGGTGTGAGTGGCAAAGAGTTTGTGCTGGTTATAAAAGGATAGCATGGATCCCTTTGATGATGGAACTGGTAGGTACTGCTGCCCATTTGGGAAACTCAGATTGAAATCTGTGCTTCTTACATGTAACATGTAAAATTCCTAGATGTGATAGTTCATTATAGATTTGCAAGATGTTACCGTTGGGAATGCTGGGGCTGATGGCATCTCCTGTAAAAATCATGTTAATGCCCAACTGCCAATGTGATATTATTTGGAGGTACCACCTGTGGGAGATGATTCAGGAGGGTGGGCACTCATGATAGGATTAGCACCCTTATAAGAAGAGATGCCAGAGCTTGCTCTACCATGTGAGGACCCATGAGAATGTGGCTGCCTCCAGGCCAGGAAGATGACCTTCACCAAAAACCAACCATGCTGGCACTTGGTCTTGGACTCCTGGCCTCCAGAACTGTGGGAAAATAAATGAATTTCTGTGGCTTAAACCACCCAATCTATGGTATTTAATCACAGCCTGAAGTAAAACAGGGTAAAACTGGATAAAGGTGTACTACATGTCTATGTATTATTTCTAACAACCTCATGCGAATCTCAAAATAAAAGCATTCACTTAACAGGGTGCACTTTCACATAACTATGTTAAAATTAATTTAGGTTTGGAACTATTCTTTGAAATGTCTTGGTACGCCATAAGGCAATGCCTCCCATCCAAATGATACTTTTTACACACACTCTTCACCCTCTTACCTGTTAGTCAGTCACTGTTTCCTTTTTAGAGATGACAGAACCTGCCAGAGATAAGCTAGCTTGACAATAATTGTACAAAAAATAAGATAGTGAGGTTGTGACACATTCTCAAGGACTTACTCTATTTCAGCAAGCCTACCTTGGATGTCATGAATTCACCTGGCCATAGAAAAGGAGGAATCACCTCTAAACCCCAAAGGATAACACAAAAATCATTAGAGAGTTATGTAGAAATGTCTTAGGGCTACACTGACAAGATCAGGAGCCGTGTGACTTTCCATTCCACACAAAGAGCAGGAGAACATGATGGTTCCATCACTAAAGGTGCATCTGGACACTGAATAACTAAGAAGACAAAGGAGTTGCAGGTCTGAGGGCTCCATTAGCACACAGGGGTTAACTCCCAGCTCCTTATTCCAGCCCTAGCCCTCC